GAGAACTGGAAGAAAAGAAAGAGAGAGAGATAGAGAGAAATGAAAGAGAACTGGAAGAAGAGAATGAGAGAGAGAGAAAAGAGAGGGAAACAAATCAGGGGGAAGAAAGGAAGAGAAAAGAAAGAAAGAAAAAAGAAAGAAAGAAATTTTCTCAGACCTATGGGGAAAGCAATGGCAAGCTAGATCTCTTGCCAAGAAAACTGTAGTTTGCCAGAAGGCACAAATTGGAAGCAAGTCTGATTTTTTAAAAAGAAAATAACAGGGATGGCAAAAAAATGCATCTGAAAATAAGATTATTTATAATTTTGGATAACGTATTATATTGTCAAACACAAAAGGTTTTTGATACTTAATTGTCATCATCATCATCTCTCTCTCTCTCTCCCCCCCCCCCCCTCGGAGGGACTGTTGTGCCTTGTGAAAAACACAACAAGGAACTCCTCAGCTCCTTGCTCCCCCCCCATCTGTTTTTTTGTTGTTGTTGGCCACTGGTGGTCACCGCATATGGTCCTCGGCGATACGCTCTTGCCCACCACCCCTTCGAAAAGCGCAAGGACAGGACAAAACAGCACGGATCCTTTTATTAACACCCCCCCCCCCGTATTACAAAGGCATTTTAATAAGAAGATTGTGATGACGTCAGTGCCTCACCAGCCATAAACCTCATCGCACATCACTGATAACAATATGCATTGTCATTTCATCCTTGTTTTTGAGTGAAGTGGGTTCAGGAAATAAAGCCTATTGGATTTGTTACATATCAGATCCTGATGTATATGAATAATCAGGAAATGAAACTGTTTGAAGGCTAGGATGGATACTCACCAGAGAAGCAATTACTACACCTGTAAGTGCTATTACACTGACCTAACAGCAAAGTTACAGGAACTGTTCTTTAAAAAGGATTAATGAAGCTTACTTCAAAAATGTTCTGATTTCTATCAAATTTAGAAAGGTACATCTTCAAGAAGTTCTGGCTTGGTTGCAAATTTAACCATTCTGCTGAAAAATAGAACTTCTTGTGCTTTCTACACTATAAACTACAGAACTCAGTTTCTCTAAATCAAAGGCAGATGGGAAAGGCTACATCCAGGATCATGAAAACCTGATGGGAAGTTTCTAAAATGTAAAGAGGATAGACTTTGTGCATCCCATATTTCATCCTTAACACAACAATTGTATCATTACAATTACACCATTATCATTATAACATTCAGTAAACCTCCTTAATTGCCCACTGGCAGCTCAACTATTCCATACATCATTATAGTTCTTCAGGCTCTCTGGAAAATACAGGACATTATTACTTTTCCTGCATTTTTTTAAAAAATTGTTGATTGTAAAGGCAGAGCATCATGTTTATCAGTGATCTAGCAAAAGTTAGAAAATTGAGTTAGCCATAAGCACAGATTAAAAATAAACAAATGAGAAGGCAGAATTGATATTTTACAACAAGAATTTCTGATACAGAAAATTTAACAACATGCCTAAGTGTCAAACTTGCTCCACCCAGGCTGAGCTACAATTGCTAACAACTCATTTCTCTAAACAGCTTAGAATTGACTGCCAAACTACCAATCTAAAAACCACTTCTAATGAGTCAAGGTATCCTGTTTTAAAGTCAGTTATGCTTAACAGCCTTCTTAATGTAAGCTTTATGCTTTTCTCCAAAAAATAAAGTCATTACATACCCTTAAAGGCATCACTTCATTGGTGACCAAGAAGAGGAGAAGATGGAAATCAGAGATGATGTCAAGGAATACAGAAGAGGTATTCTGGGACAAATATGTAGCTAGAATGTGGAAGTCCTGCAAAGATTGACAAAAGCATTCTTTAGCCAACTGGAACATTCCATGCAATTTACCAGTATATGTAATATCCTGTCACAGGGCTGCAAAACAAACCTGTTATCTCAATAACTGTACTTCAAAAGTGGACAGGACCCAAGCAGTCAGATGATTTTTTTAAAATATGACCTTAATACTAACTTTATTATTTAAGTTTATACTTCTTTAAGCATTTAATTCTTTCTCTTTATTTGCAGCAACATTCTCAAACTAAAATACCTGCAGGTTTTTTTTTCTTTTTAGCAAAAGTCTTACAATACTAAGAGTCTTTTCTCAGGATCATAGCACCCTCTGCTGATGAAACTCTTCCAGCAAGAATGAATAGACAGAAATAGCAGCCAGGAAGCAAATACATCAAATTTAAGAGATTATGCAAGAAGACAAAGAAGCTGGGAAATATAGAGGCAAACAAAGCAGAAGGGAGGCAGAGAGACAGTAGGAAAAACTGGGGGGGGGGGGGAGATGTGGAGGCAGCAAAGAAACAGTAGCTGGGCAGGAAATGTAGTACTGTAGAAGCAACAGTTAAGTAAAGGTTGCGAAGGGAAAACAGCATTGTGGGCTCTCTTAGATACCCCACCATGCCATACTTGGCCTGCAGGTTTTGCATTTGAGCTCTCCTGTTCTTCCTAGTTCAAAGAGCAATTTCACGTATTTTGTCCTATCTATGAAGATTGCCAATATTTGTGATGTAAAGAGAGCAAATGAGTGTCACTTTTTTTTTGCCAAAGACCAATGAGATATTCCTTCCACATCAAGGAGAATTTAGATAAAGCTTCCTCTTCAGGAAAATTTACTGTATTTCTTTTCAAGTGATGATGGTAACAATAGTTCAGCAGAACCTATGAAGACAGTTGCAGTTCTACCACTTATAATTTTCATCCAATATCTGACCAATGGAGTAATGCCATTCTCAGCAATGGGGCAGATTATGTGAGCTTTCCCAGCTGTTAAAAGTTGACGACATGCCAAAATAAGCTAAATTGTTTTTAGATCCAATAGTTCTTCTCTATCTCTATGAACATAGGCTCAAAAGGAGACAGCAGGAATAGAAAAGGCAGCAGATTATTATATTTTCTTCCTCTCAAAGGACAAAATCTGCTTAGTGTTTCCTTTTTTCCAATTAAATATTGCAAAGATATTTTGTTTGGTAGCAAAAGTCAAGGGTACAGCTGAAGCATATAGCGTATACAAACAGGTGTGCTCAATAGAAGTCTTATTGAGACATAATTTGTAACCATGGTAGACATTTTGCTCATGGTAACATACATGCAAGCTTTTTCTGATCTCCAGATATAGCAAAAACTTCATTTTACATGACTAGGTGAAATCTGTTCACATAGAATTTGTCAAATTTTGCACAAACCTAAAAAGGGGTGAATTAAAACTGTTTACCATTTGCAACTAAGTCAATTTTATGCATGATGTCTGCTTTTAAATATAAAAAAACCAAATAAATGCAATTGTATAGATACTTCCCTTCATCCAAACTGCTATTTACACTTACCTGAGTTTCTCCCAGTACATCACGATTCTCAATAGGGAATTGACTTTGAGAAATAGAAAATGTGTAAACTGGATCTTTTGGAAACGTGGTAGTAATCTTCAAAACAGTAAAAATAACAACAGTTGAAATTCAAATGACATATGATGTCAACAGGCACTGCAAGAGACAGGGCAAAAACCCTATCTATGACAGAGACAGGCCTCAGATAATGCCTTTAAAATAAAGACTCAGGTAGAAAAACTGAAAGGAGAGAGATGAAATGAAGTTTCTTATGGGTCTTCCAGTCCCTTTAAAAAAAATCTCTTGTATGTCTTTGGCTTTTTCAGTGTTTTGCATGAGGTAATTAAGAATCAGTTCACCTCTGACAAAAGGACCATATTGCCCAAGACTTCTGAAACCATCAAAGATTCAAATTCCTACTGCTTTCTAGACTAGAGGGAGTAAGACAGCTTATTTTTTTAAAAAAATATATAGGTAAGACAAAAAGTTCTTGTCTTTGCTATCAAAAGCAATGGCTTTTGCAGCCCTATTCCTCTAACAGAAAGGATTCTACACTTATTTTGTTGCGCCAGGTATGCTAATATTACAGATTATTGAGTTTTAAAAATGAAAAGGTGTCATATATCACCTGATATTGCATAGGATAGATGTTAACCAACAAATCAAAAGACACATTATGAATACACCTTGAATTGTAAAAATAAACGTAGGATAGAGATCTAAATAAATAGTTATATCACACATACATTGCTTAATCATTTCTCTGAAAGATACAGCACACACTTGTTCTCTTATAGATGTAATCACTAACATCTCTATGAAGATGGCACTTCCCACTTATTTAACATGCAAACATAATTTTGTAGGAGCAGTGAGATCCTTTGATCAGTATGTTAATATAGAAACTAAACACTCTTCTGAGATATTACACAACCAAAAGAAAATTGCAATCAGAAAGCTATAAGCTACTTGTTAGCACTTGCCTTTTCAGTAAGGACTAATATGACAAGAGTCCCCCAATTTAACTTATGGAGAGAATTCTGCATATATCTATTCAATGTTTCTATTTACTTTAGACAAAGTAAAAAGTAAGCAAAACTGATACTTACATCTATGATTAGGTACTCAACAGGGAGAGGACGAGCTAGCTGAGTGATCTCATTGCCAAACTTGTCTATATCCTAAAACAAAAGCCATCCCAAATTGTTAGGCGACAACTAACCAAGAATTACAAAAAGAACAATAGTTTATTGAAGGGAAGAAAGAAATTAAACACAGAAAACCAGGGGCCCATTGGTCAATTCCTACCATGTTACCCCGAAAATAACATAGGGTCTTATGACCCCTGAAATAAGCACTTGGCCTAATTTTCGGGGAGGTCTTGTTATTTTTGAGGTGCAGGAGGCAGCAAGCGTGGTCACCTCATGGCTGCTGCTGTGTTACAATATTTTCAGGGAGGGCTTATTTTCAGGGGAGGCCTTATTTTAGAGCATGCACTCAAAAGCCCAATTGGCCTTATTATCTGGGGAGATCTTATTTTCAGGGAAACAGGGTAGTATGTCATCTAAGCACCAGCAAACTGATAAGATTCTAACATTCAAGTATCTTTCATACTGTTTCATCTCACTGTACCTCATTAAGTAAAATATGAATTCACATGTTTAAATTTATAAAATAAATCCAAAATATTTAGGTGTTCTTGTTATAAAAACAGATCATGTAAAAGAAGCAGTCTTCTAGTATTTTAAAATATTTATCCCATTTTTTCCTCTGAAAAGCAGTTATAAAACTGATTATACCATTAACTGCATGGTTTATTTAAAATGAGTAGATACATACATACATACATACATACATACATACATACATACATACATACATACATACATATTTCTTGATACATTCCTGATGTACAGGTAAATGAAGTTAGAATAGCACTGTAGCAACCTAGTACTGTAGTCTATGACTTGAATTTATTTTCTTGACGTGTTGAATTCAGAAATGCTATGGGTACACCAAAAGTTCTAGAACTATTCCCAGCTTTTGCTCCATCATTACAGGTACTTATGACTTATGTACCTTGACTTATGATTGGTTGCATAACAACCATTTGAAATCATGATGGATTTGAAAAAAAGATCACCCATCCTTGAAGTAACATGATCACATTTTGGGTGCTTGGTACCTGGCTTGCATTCACAACTACTGCAGAGTACAATAGTCACATGATCATGTTTTGTGACTCTTTTGCTGTTTTGTGCCCATTTGACAAAATGGGGTTGCACTTATGACCATGCAATTCATTTAATGACCAAGTGATTTGCTTAATGATCATCATAAAAACAGTAAAAAAAAATACAAGGATCACTGTCTTCTTAAGATTACTTCCCCTTACTTTTTGCTGTTCCTATGTTGCTCACTAGAAAGGTAATTTTTGACTTGTCTCAAGTTTGACACAATGTTGTTTGTTATTATGTTAAATGCCTTGGTTTTTCTAACATTCTTTACAAGCTTCATCTACCATTGAGGGAACATATGCACAGAAGCAATGCATCTTATGAACCTGAATGACTATCCCACACAGCTTTGAATCTGTTCTCTTTCTTCCCTTGAAAATTTTGCTGCTAACTACAAATTTCCTTTATTTTCTTAAATTATTGTCGTGGCCAGTGGTGAAATTCAAATTTTTTAACTACCGGTTCTATGGGCGTGGCTTGGTGGGTGTGACATGGCTTGGTGGGCGAGACAGGGGAAGGATACTGCAAAATCCCCATTCCCTCCCCATCAGCTGGGACTCGGGAGGCAGAGAAGAGATGGCCAGTCAGAGGTGGTATTTACCGGTTCTCCAAACTNATCTATCTATCTATCTATCTATCTATCTATCATCTATCTATTTATCTATACACACACACAAACAAACACACACACATAACTACTTGGCTACAAAGTGTAAAGTTTTGTTTACTTGTGTTGTATTCTCAAAGGTGGTTTCAAATCTAAATTCCAACGCTAGGCAATTTGACAAAGGTAAACAAAAGCTGTCCAGCATCTTTGGAGTGATGTGATTCAAAAAGAGAAAAGACATTAAACATACTGCAAAGCTGCTCAATGGTAGCCCACTGTTCAGATTTTTTCCAGGTCTGAGCGAGATCCTCATTCCGGGTTCTTACTGCCTCCAGCAACAAGCTGATACTATCCTAAAAGAGGAAATAAACCACATCACACCACCTATATTTTAAATAAAGGATTAATGCACCACATTCCACTAGCTGTAACTGTCAGTAATATTTAATATCTAAATATTCCATTACACAAAAACATTTTTGTCAAATGATTTACAATCTCCAAAATAGGTTGCATTCTGTCTCTTCTCCCACTTTCAGGACATCTAAAGGCATGGAGCAACAGTATAAAAATACATTTTGTTTCCTGAGACCCAAGAATGCCATTTCAGGTATCCCATTTCCATTCCAGTTTTAAAGGCCAATTATTCTTGAAAGTAGTAAGAAATGAAACTTCTACTGCTTTGTTTAGCAGAGTCTAGACAGAGTCACTATGTTGCATGTGCGCTGTTAGCTCCACTTATTTTGTGCGCCATGATTGAGTGGCACAAAAAGAACAAGTCAATGTAGCTCAGACTCCTTTAAGAAAGGAAATGCCAGCATAAAAACAAGACCCCATTTAGAATACTCGTATGAGCAAGAATGCATGAATGAAACATCATGCTCCACATTTCAGTTAGCAGCAACTGTTCTCCAACATTCACAAGTGACATTATGCAGGATTACATTAAAATGGATTTGCTGAAAGAAAAAACATTTATTGAGATTTGAACAGCAGGTGGCATTGCAGACAAGTTCTGAAATGAACTAGATAACAATCAGTGACGTGCAGTCAGGTGAGGCAAGTGAGGCACAGCCTCACCGCTCTCATCATGAAAAGAAAAAAAAATGTAAAAGGGAAAAGGTGAGTGCTGAGGTGAGGCTAGCTAGCTGCTGCCTCACCGTGAATGACTGCCTAACTGTTTAAAAAAGCCTCTAAAAGCGCCCTCTACTATGAGGCAGGAGAACTGCATGTCTCATCTAGTCTGACTTCTAAGGCGTTTTATGATCGCTCGAGCAGAGTTAAGCGAGGGTTAAAAGCCTGAAAAATCCCAACTCACGCTGACCTGAGTCTAGCGCTAAGGAGTCTCCTGCACACGCTGTCCCATTCCCCTCCTTCCTGAGCCAACATGAAGGGGACCGCAGCTCGCGCTGACCTGAGTCTAGTGCTAAGGAGTCTCCTGCACACGCTGTCCCATTCCCCTCCTTCCTGAGCCAACATGAAGGGGACCGCA